TGGGTCAGGATTCTTCATATACTCCAGCTTCTCTGATGATTCCCTCAGCATGTAGACTGAATAAGTATCGCGAGAGGATACAATCCTAACCCACACCTTTCCTGATGTTAAGCCATCTAGCATTCGCTTCTTCTTTTAGCACAGCTGTCTCTCGACCCAGGTGCAGGCTCGACATGAACACAACAAGCTGTCCTGTAAGTCCAGTTCTTCTCTAGGCTGCCCACGGTCTGTTATGCTTCACACAGTGGCATGCCTTGGCATGGTCAATAAAACACAAGTAAACATCCTTGTGATGGTCTCTGCTTTCAGCCAAGATCTGTTTGGCATTGACAATGCTATCCCATGCACTTCTGAATCAAGCCGGGACCTCCGGCGGCTCCCTGTGAATACCCTGCTGCCGCCATTGTTTGGTGCGTCAGCAACATTTGACTTGCATGGGTCCTGACTGAGGAACAGTGGGTCCTGACTGAGGAGCACCCTGCTGGTGCAGTGGTTACAGGCTGGGCTGAGAAAACACCAGCAGCTCCTCCATAGAGAGACTGGGCTCTCTAGCAGACTGCACCGGGATAGTCTCGGAAGCCCCCGGCGGTCGGGCGCCATGAGTCGGCATTGACTCCGTGGCAGTGAGTTTGGTTTGGAAGTTCTGACTATAACCCCAAATCCAAACTCACTGCCATCAAGTCGGTCCCCAGGTACAGCGACCCTATCGGACAGAGTAGGAAAGCCCCTTTGGATTTCCAAGACCAAATCTTGATGGGAGCAACCAGTCTCATCTTTCTCTCTCGGAGTAACTTGTGGGTTTACTCTTTATTGAATACACAAAGCCATTGGGGTCACACTCCTGACTTGGCAGTGAGTTAAGAAGCTCAAAGCATAGCCCGCTGTACAAGGCAACTGTGTGGTTAATCGCATTAGCTGGTCTGCCTTAGTTCTAGGACCAAACTTTGTATTTGCCTCTGGAGGATATGATTATTGAATACTTCAGACACACTCAGACTGTGTTCAGGCTTCGATATAAACCACATTTACAGAACTGTTTGCATTGGATCATGTTACTGTGCTAGCTCTTCCCTCACCCCCCCTCACCATGTTTCCAGAGATCAGAAGATTCCAAGGGGCCCATGGGCAGGTGGGAACATGGTTAAAGTGTTCATCTATTTCTCCCCCAAAATCCCTTGCTTAGAAGACTGTATGGGGCCTCACAAAGCGACCTGGTAGACATTATAAGAAGCCAGCAGATTTATTTTAATAATATCACTGTAAATACACCAACAAATGTCCCCACTTTTTCTTATTAACTCCGCTCTTGGTATAGCGGAGAAGTGCCCCCAAAGGTTTCTAAGAAGCACACTGCCACGTCTCTCTCCTATGGAGCGCCTGGTAGGCTCGAACTGCTAGCCCTTCATTGTGCAGCCAAGCGCTTAACCACCATGCAACCAAGGCTCTTTCATGAGCCAATTACCAAGAAAGGACCCTCTGTCTAGTTGATTCTGCCTCATAGCCACCTCATAGCAGATTAGAGTAGACCTGTCCGGTAGGCTTTCCAAGACTAAATCCTTACGAAAGCAGCTGGCTACGTTTTTTTCTCCTATAGAACCAGCGGCTGGTAGATTTGAACATCTGACTTTGGGGCTAGCAGCAGTGCTTTCATCAGTCTGTCACTGGACTCCGTAACCACCTAAAAGTCCAGATGTCATTTCTTTGGGTGTCTCCATGCTGTGGATGTAGCTCGGAGAAACTTTGGGGGGTTCCAGGTGGGCCCTTCTGTTCTCAGATGCCGCTGCTGAGTGAGGTTGAGCATTCAATTGCAACACAGTTTCCAGCAAGGTGGTTATCGGTCACCGAAAGAGAAGACAGCACCAGGGAAGGCAAATTCACCTGCCTGCATGTTGTTTAAATGGGAGAAGCACTCTAGAGCCTCTATCTCTTTAAAAAGAGACCCAAGAACGGAGGTGGGCAAGGTGGATAGACAGAGTTCCTTGTCAATAACCACTTGAAGCCATGAAGCCCAAGTTTGCGCCACGGTGCTCTCTCTCTCCAGGCTACCCCGTCCCTCCATAAAAAACAGAGACATTACCTGGGGTGTCGAGGTATTATTACCCAACTTCCTGAAGGCTAATGGGTTCGGGAAGGCAGAAGTGACCCTTTTCAAAAATCCTCTGTCTGGATATTTGATGATAAAAAGAGATAACTATAAGCTCCCGGTGGGGGTGGGGGGAAATTCTTGGCCACCTCTTCTGTCTAAGCCAAGGCTTTGCCAGGGGGAGGAAGAGGGAGTTGTCAGAATACAATCTCAAGAATGCCGGGAGCTACATTTTGGGCTTCTTGCTGCCCTCAAGGAAATCAGGAGGGCTCCTTTGAAGGCAAGGGAATCAGATAAGGAAGAGGCCAGTCCTCACAGGTGGGGGGATCTGAAGCCCTGAGGCACTCCTGCTGCAGGGTTTAAACCTGCCTTTCTCCTTAGCAAGAGACACCCACGGCCATCTCAGGGTGTGCGCCGTAGCTGTGGGACCCGCACAGTCAGAGGGCACAGTGTGGCTGCCCTAGCAGTCTGTGTTCTAAGTCCGAGCAGTGTGTTCAGAAGCCTTTGGGGACTCATAAGGTGTTTTTGTCCCCCAGGGCGCGGTGCCACTGTTGTGTGTGTGTGTGTGTGTGTGTGTGTGTTCGTTCAGAAATGAAATCATTTCCTCACCATGTCTGTTTAGTACAAACAACAAAGGCGAGCCCCTCTCCGCCCCTCCCCGCCCCCCCCAAAAATGCTCTCAAAAGCATCGATCGACTCTGGGCATTCGAAACACAGTTCCTAAAACTCAGCTGAGAAAAAGGACCGTGCCTAGTGGAGCCTCCTCCCACAATGACTTCTCGGGTTCATTAAGAAAGCCAAGGCGGCTGCCCACCTGCCCGCTCAGCCCACGCTGTGCGTGGACCTGGCTGGTGAGATCATGGCCGTTCAGGAGTTCACATCTTTCTTGTCTCCGTGGTGGCCCTGGGCCCAGTTACTGCGTCCTGATCCACGAGGCACGGCTTCGCGTGCGTCCAGAGCATCCCTCTTCAAGTTTTCTACCACTCTGGCCAGCTCCCCTTCCCTACCCCAGCCCTTCACCATGGCCTGCCTCCGGCTGGCCCTCCCCTCGCGCTCCGGAGGTGCCCTGAACCATTTCTCTGGCTCTTAGGACCGCCTCTGTGAGATCCAGTGCACGAGCCACTTCCTGAATGGATACCATGAGGAGCCTCGTCGACTTCTGAGTTCCAGCATGTTCTGTCTGCAAGAGGCAAACGAACGGAGCCCTAGTGGTGCTGCAGGGACTAACCGCCATGGTCTTCAGGAGGAAGATGAGGCTCTCTGCTCCTGGGAAGATGTACAGCTTCCTCTGGGTCGCTGTGATTCAGAACGGACTTGACGGCGGTGATCAGAACAATGTGCAGTGCCCGCAGACTTCAGACTTGCTGGAACCCCTCCGAGGAGCAGTCACCACCAATCATTAAGCTGACTGGCTTTCACCTTTGGACGCCAAACCATAAAACACGTGTCATAGTCCATTTCCCTAGAACCATGTCTTGGACGGTGGATTAGTAAAACATTTCCAACAGAAGAAGCCGGGTTTGGGGTTTCTTTCCCCTCTCACAAAGACAACTGCTTGATGGCATACATGCGTTCTGTCGGGTCAAACGCAAGAGAGAGAGGTAGCTTCTTGTGCTGTCCCACGTCTCGTGGTTTACAACCGGCATCTGCTCGACCCTGACTGCGAACACCTCGAGACAGCTGTTCCAAACCTCCTCTTTAGAGGCACGCTCAGCTTTCCCCAGCCTGCACATCACGAGGAGAGTAAGGTTCACTCGTTCCTTACAAAGTACACTCAGGAACAATAATGGGAGTAGCAATACCATAAGGGTAGGGGGCATGTGGGGGGAGGAAAGGGGGAACTATGATCCATGTATAACTGCCCGCCCCCCCCACCGCCCCCCCACCCAGGAGATGAACAGCAGAAACATGGGTGAAGGGAGACAGTGGTTGGTGTAAGATATGAAAATAATAATTTATAAATTATTAAGGGTTCGATACAAGGAACTATATGTGACCTCCTCCCTGGGGGATGGACAACAGAAAAGTGGGTGAAGGGAGACGTCAGACAGGGCAAGATATGACAAAATACCAATTTATAAACTATCAAGGGCGCATAAGGGAGAGGGGAGCGGGGAGGGAGGGGGGAAATGAGGACCTAATGCCGGGGGTTTAAGTGGAGAGGAAATGTTTTGAGACTGATGAGGGCAATGAATGTACAAATGCGCTTTACACAATTGATGTGTGTATGGATTGTGATAAGAGTTGTATGAGCCCCTAGTAAAATGATTAAAAGAAAAAAATTTATTAAGGGTTCATGAGGGAGGGAGGGGGAGGGGGAAGGGGAAAATGAGGAGCTGCTACCAAGAAGTCAAGTAGAAAGAAAATGTTTTGAAAATGATGATGGCAACATATGTACAAATGTGCTTGACACAATGGATGTATGGATTGCTGTAAGAGTTGTAAGATCCCCCAATAATTTTTTTTTTTAAAGGAAAGAAAGCCAAGGCAAAGGGAGACACTTAACATTCTCCCCTCCCCCCTTTCTTCCTTATTGTCCAAAGGAATTACCAACCGAAAGGTGGTATAGATGTTGATGACAGGCTTGATGGGTAGGCCTGCTGAGAATGACTGGGGTGGGGGGTGGGGGGGTGCCAGAAGAAAAGGCTGTTCTAAGAATTTTAAAAATGAAAAAGAGGGTGCTTTGGAAAACAAATTCTAAGTTGAATGTGGAACTTCAGACTCCTAAGCGTTTCTGCAGACTGGCTTCTTTCTCTCCACATTCAGCCCTCTTTTGATAGCACGGTGACTGGGGAAGGTAGGTCAGTTCTACAAAACAAGGCAGCCGGCCATCAGGGTGTCCCTTCTCGCTGGCGCCAGATGCTGAGTAGTTGCCTGGTGGCGAGCGGCTAGTGACCATGTCCTTTTGTTCCTCCAGCTGACTCGGGCGCAGACTCCTCGGCAGTGTTTATGGCCAGCAGCGGGCCCACAGATGTCGCGAATCGCAACGGCCCAGCCACCCCACCCACCACCCTGAACCTGCGTTCCTCCCACAATGAACTGCTGAATGCGGAGATCAAGCACACAGACGCCAGGAGCAGCACCCCCCCGAAGTGCAGGAAGAAGTATGCGCTGACGAACATCCAGGCCGCCATGGGCCTCTCGGAGCCCGCCGCCCAGCCCCTCCTGGGCAACGGCTCTGCCAATATCAAACTGGTAAAAAACGGGGAGAACCAGCTCCGGAAGGCTGCCGAACAAGGGGGGCAGCCGCAGCAGCAGCAACAGGACCCCAATAGAAACGTCAGCCCCACCGCTGTCATCAACATAACTTCTGAGAAGTTAGAGGGCAAAGAGCCCCACCAGGCGGACTCCTCGGGCGGCGACAGTGCCCCCTGCCAGCCTCGCAGAACCAAGAGCTTCCTCAATTACTATGCAGACCTGGAAACCTCCGCCCGAGGGCTCGAGCAGAACGTGGGCAACCGCCTGGGGCCTGGGGAGGAGAAAGCCCTGCCAGGCCCAGGGCAGACTGCCCCCATCGTCAGCGACGGCGATTTGCTGCTGCAGAAACCAAACCAGCCCCACTCCAGCCCCGAAGACGGCCACGTGGCCACTGTGTCCTCCAGCCCAGAGACCAAGAAGGACCACCCGAAGACGGGCGCGAAGACGGACTGTGCCCTTCACCGGATCCAGAACCTGGCCCCCAGCGACGAGGAGTCCAGCTGGACCACGCTGTCCCAAGACAGTGCCTCCCCCAGCTCTCCGGACGAGACAGGTACCCCGCACAACGTTGTAGCCCAAGGCGGCGCTCTAGGTTGGCCTTTGTGATGATGCAGGTGATGCTCGCTCTCAAAATCAAACCCAAATGCGCCGCCATGGGGTTGATTCTGGCTCTTAGCGACCCTCGGGGCAGAGTAGAACTGCCCATGGTGGATTTTCGAGGCTGTACATGGGGGCAGAAAGCCTCCTCCTTCTCTTGCTGGTGGTTTCAAACGGCTGGCCTTGTGACCGGCAGACCAACACTATAACCCATGCTGCCAGGAGATTCTAGACGGATCAGAAAAGCCCGTTTCCAGGCAGAGATGGGCACGAGCCTCTTTGAGGTAAAATTGGGTGATTTGTGTGGGAAATATGATTCGATTTCCCCACCTACCACAGTTCAGGTGGATTTCATTTTGCCTCACACCTAAGTCGGTTGTTCTGGTAAGCATTTTCAGATAGAAATACCGGTAGGTGTTTGGTGTTAAGAACAGTAAAGTACCATCTATTTAGAATCTATGCTCCTTACAGTACTTAGGAGCGGGAGAAAGAGGACATTTTCTACTCCCACGAAGAGTTACAGTCTCAGAAACCCACAGGGCCAGTTCGCCCTGCCCTATGGGGTCACTATGAGTCAGAACTAAGGTTGAGTCTCAAGTGTTTAGGTGAACCGTTTTTTAATATCGTCATGAAATAACTGGGCTTTGTCACACAAAATGATAAAAGAAATATTAGGGGCAGGCTATAGCTCATTAAGCATGCAACTACTTTTTTAAAAATTCAAGCATGTATTTATGCCCACGTGGAGCCCCGGTGGTGCTGTGGGATTAGTGTTAGGCTGCTAGCTTCGAGGTGGACAGTTCAAACCAACCAGCCACTTGCTCCACGGGGGAAGGATGAGGTTGTCTGCTCCCTTAGGCCATGTGTTAGGTCGTTATGAGTCAGAGTCCTCTCTGTGGCAGTGGGTGAGGAAAATGTAAAAGTGTGCTCACCAAAGACATTTTCTCCTTGCTCAAGTGATCCTTCAAAATGAGAAAATGGTATTTCAAAACACATGGTATTTTTGTGTTTTTATCCAAGGAACGTGTGCGTCACATGGTTTGGTTTTTAATTTTTTAAAGTTTTTTATTATTATTTATTTTATTTTTCATTAGGTAGATGGTTTCTGCAAGCCATCAAGCCTCCTTGTGTTTTTCCCCCCCAGGAGAGCTAAGCACATTATAGGTGTATGGGTGTTGTTTATGAGGTTGCAAAAAAAATACAATATTTATTCAGAAGTTGAGGATTTTGATTAATTTCCTTGAGACCAGGCCATTCTGTTCTCTAATCCTTCATCTACATCTGTGACATCTTTGGATCACCCCCTGTACTAGTGTGTCACATACCTTGTCATGCACCCGGCCCACCCAGTCCTTTGGGAGCAGTTACGGCTAGAAGAGCCACAGATCCGTCAGGGCACTTCACCGCGAGGACAGAATTGTTGACTCACAACATGCTTGTAAGAATGCGTTGGCTGTGACTTTAACACCATGTGACTGAGTTTTTCAAAAATATCTGAGAAGCCAAACCTGTGCTGTCCTTTGGGGGCACTTTGGTATTTGGGCCACACGGTTCCAGAATATTAAAAAATTTGGGAGTCCTCTTTTGGAGTTGCCTCAGAGCCCGTCAGCCCCCACCGAGAAGAAACACCTTTATATCATGATCAAGTTTAAGCATTTCAGATGGCAGCCATGACCTCAATGAGTGAGTCACGTGAAATAGGTGGTTATTCAACTCTGGTGTTTCTGTTGGTGGTTAGTTTTGTTTTTTCTCCCAGAGAACCATACCGCTCGCTTGAGCATTTAAAAGCATCACTCCATTTAAATTCAGCAGTGTCTGTTCAGCTTGCAGTCGTACTACTAATGTTCATCCTATACGCCTTAGGAGCTGTGGTAGTCGCAGTGCGTTACGATGTGGGCTGCCAGCTGCAAGGTCAGCAGTTCGAAACCACCAGCCCCTCTGTGGGAGAAAGATGAGATTCTCTACTCCCCAAAAGTTGTATAGTCTCAGGAAACGCTGAAAGGCAGCTCTGCCCTGTCTTACAGAATAGCTCTGAGCCGGCATCGATCCGATGGCAGCGAGTTTGGGTGTTTTTCTGGTTTTATACTTATATATTATAGACATGCGAGGGGGCTGCAGAATGGAATGAATATATAACAGGATTTTTTAAACAGAGTCTTTGAAACCCCACATTTCACCAGGAGTCGAATAGACTGGACAATAAGTAACAGCAACCATGTGTCTGTGCACACACGCACATGCACAACGAACATGGAATACTAGCTGTTGAAAAAAGGGGGGGGGGGTTGTAAGCTAGTAGTGTACTGTGCCATGGCACATCTATCTGAAACGTGTGTTTCTTTGCTGTGTGTTAAATGAGAACTCACTACAGGGGGGTGTGTTTTATGGCCAAATCATGACACAATTATCTGTGGATGGAGACGGGGCTTCGGGGAGCCTAGGAAAATAGAATAGACTCGTTTGTACCTCGGGGGCATCCTTGCCACGTCAGGATGCTATTTAGAAAAGAAAATGCACTGCCTCACCCAGAGATGGACTACTTTCTATTTCCCTTTCTTTCTCAATTGCCCCCTCCAGCTCTTGGGCGACTTTTGGGGGGCCGCACTCCAACACGCGTGCGATGTGCCAATGCCCTTTGAGAAACCGAGGAGGCTGTTTGGAACAAGGGAAGAGCGAGTCTGTGAGATGACCAGGCTTTCCCAGGCGTGTGGACAAATTCAAAAGGGTGCCGTGACCCCAATTCTAAAGAAAGGGTTGTGTGGTTTGGGTTCCTGAAAGCAATTCTGGCTCGGAGTGACCCTATGGACAGGCTAGGGCTGCTCTCGGGGCCCGGGGTTTTAAAGCTATAAATCTGTCCGGAAGCCAATGGGCTCATCTTTCTCCCGTGGAGCAGCTAGTGGGTTTGAGCCACCAGCCTTTCAGTCAACAACCCAAAGACTACCCTGCTGTGCCTTCAAGAGTCCTTTCCTGCCATATGGGCACACCCTGTATAGTTAGCCCTGTCAGCACAGGAGTTAAAGCACGCTGCTGCCAGCCAAGAAGTCAGCAGTTCAAACCCACCAACTGCTCCATGGGAGAAAGATGTAGCACCCCGCTGTAAAGATCGGACAGCTTTGGAGACCTGAGAGGGCCATTCTGTACTGTCCACTTGGGTCGCTGTGAGTTGGAATTGACTTGCTATCAATGGACTTGTCATTGCTTTTGTTTTGATATCCCCCAAAGGTAGAAAACGTGAGCACAATTTGTATAAAGCACTTGCTTATGATGGCTGGGGAAGGCAGTTCTTCAGATGTGCCAAGCCACAGGGAGGGAAGAATTGGGGCCGATAATTCAGTGGCCTCGGGCATCCTTTGATTCCTGTCTCCAGGCCTGTCCGTCAGAGGAGCCATTATCAAGGACAAGGGCCGTTTTGGTTGCTGTAGCCAATTGATTCATGTTGCTACAGAGTCTGAATTCTTTGATGTAGTACATTGATTTTTTTTTTAAGCCTTGGGTCCAACTCACTAACTGGGTAGTTGGTATAAGTGTGAACAACACCAAGACACAAACCGAATAATGGCAACACAACCAGTGGCCCTTCTGCCCTCCGTTAGCTTAAGAGTACTGCAGTCTGGGTACAGTGTGCTATTATCCCTCTTAGAAATGCCTTTTCAGTCTGGGGACTATTTGTTTCATCTCCCTTTTTTAATTCAAATAATCTAAAAATTGCATCTCAGAAGCATCCAGCCCTTCTTTTTTAAAGCTCCAGGAGACGGGGCTGGCCCAGTTTCGGGTGCTTGGCGCAAGGCTCCGTTTTAATATTCCGGGCACCCGCTAGTGATTCACCGGCCTTCCTGTTCTTGTCTTCTCGGTGGAGAATTCCATGAAGTGACAGGAGTAGTTCAGGAAGACAGATGTGAGAAGTTTCCAAAATAGCTCAAGCACAGTGTGTTCTGGGGTAGATGGTTTGCTTTTCCAAATTAGATTTAGTACCTCAGGGGTAAGATGTATAAAAATATGCCTTATCTCACCCCCATGAGCTTAAGGAAGAAAAGGATTTTGCACAATTAAGCAATTGGGGAAAACTTTAGACCAAAATATATGTATACGTGTATGCAAGAGAATGTTCAAGATAGTGTGGGGTTGCCGTCCATCTATATTCTCCCGGGTTCTTCGGGGAACAAACGGTGAATTCAGTGCGGTGAATAGCCGCAGAAGTCAGATGGCCGAGAGTCAGCACAGGCAGAGACCGGCGGATTCTGGCCCACGGCTGCCCCACACAGACCGAGTAGCTGTCCTTCGTGTGACCTTGCCAGAAGGAGAGTGCCAGCTGTGTGCGTTCTGTTGAGTTGGATGGTGTGGCAGTTACATAATCTCATGTCAGCTTGAACGAAAGGGTGGGGTCTAGCCTGCCCATCAGGTCACAGCCAATGAGGCCTCTGTGTGGGCGTGGCCTTCTCCTGAGGATTCTGGGAACTCCTGTCTTCTTCCCTGGAGGTGGGACCCACAATCTCTCTGCTGCACATTCTGGAGGTGGGACACACAATCTCTCTGCTGCACATTGCCAAGCCACATGAAGCTCTCCTGATGGCACCCAGAACCCTGGAGATGCTTCCACCACCACTGGATCCACAAGATTTTCCACGCACAAACCTGTGATCTTCCTGCATTCTGCATCATTGCATGTGTTGTGTGAACCCTGAGAGGAATTTATAGATCAGTACTGGACAGATGGGCTAATATCAGACTTATGGACCTGATCTGGACTGGGCTGGGATGTTTTCTTAATATACAATTACTCTTTGATATAATACTCTCTGACATACAATGAATTTGTTTCTCTTGTCAACCCAGACGAACACAGGTGGGTTAGAGCACCAACCTTCAGATTAGTAAACTCAAAAAGCCAAACTCATTGTCATTGACTCAAATCCTACCCCTAGTGACCCTACAGGACCGAGTAGAAATGCCCCTTTG